GCAATGACTGGACCTTGCTCAGTCAGGTTGTATGTTTACCTGTGCATGTGTGTATGCACATCCAACACCCAGTTATGGGTGTCTTATGGTTATATCTCCACTCCGACTTATTCATACATACGACTTGTTTCCAAGCCACCCACATACGCTCATACATGACTCTGTGATCTCTATCATCATCCATATACATATACCATGATTTTTAGTCAAGCCTCAATCTCTAAACCCTAAACCCAAAAAATTCAAAATTACATACCATGTCTCTGCAGTGTTGCAGGACCAACAGTTAAGCTCAGCCTCAATGATATCTGACGGCGGCACCAACCAAAGCAATCAGAACTCAACAATGACCGAGGTGCAAGCCAATCAGATCGCGCGATTATTCGGACGCGAACGTGTGGCAAAGACTCATGCAAGAGACTACTTTGCTATTCTCGGGGTTATGGCGGGCAGGGCTGAGGGTATCAAGTATGTGACAGGCTATAAGATGGTGTGATGTTCTGTATATGTATGTGAGTTTGTGTTCCATGTATCTAGGTATCTCTTTATCTATGTATGTATATCTATATTGATTCCTGTTTCGATAACAGAGTGTGCACTTTGTAAAAGATATGTTTTTATAATATATACATACATATATATATATATATATATGTATATATATATATATATATATATTATATATATTATATATATGTATATACGCACATGCAACGTCATGAAATCAATCCCTATATATGCTATACTACTCGTCTCAATCTACAGTCTACTCCCCATCCTTCCCTTCAGACTGATGGAAAGGTATCACCTTGATCGAGGCCTCTACAGCATTCTCAACACACGTTCACGGTCGGACCTGCACCGCATTATGGTTACGTCAATGGACTTTAACAGAGGTGGACATGCTCGCGTGATTTTGCAACGTTTGTTAAGTCACGAGGATGTGTCTCTGCGTGAGCTGAGTACACAGTCTCTGGCCGAATGGGTCAGACACTCGCCCGAGGACTTTGCTACATGGGGTATCTCCATGCTGTGTGAGCAGGTGGGTGGTGTGTGGATAAACCCCGGTTTTTGTCTTGCGTAAACTTTGTTTGCTGGGGGTGTCTGTCTCTGCGGGAGGTGAGCACATGATGTTATGCAGAATGAACTAAACAATTTCCGAAATTTTTATTTTCGTGGAGCATGCCCATATAAGATTTATACTTCTATAT